GCCTCCATATTTGGGTCACCCTGGCTCGTTAACTAAAAAGCAAAAACAAAACGGTCTTACTGCAGGACCTACGATTCATTACATGAAACTGGCAATAGCATCTTGATAGGCATATAAACATTAAGGCTGTGGTAAACTAAGTGATAACATCAGGTGTGAGCGTGGGGGGATGGGCCCTCAGCGTACATGTCTTAACTCGTAGTGTCCATGGCATGTGACACGGAGGGTTATCTCTACTTCGGTCTGGCTAAGTACCTGGTGGGGCATAAAGATTAAATACAACAAACTAAACTTAAGCAAGATGGTTGTTAGGGCCAAGACAAAATAATACTGGACGAGTCAACGCTATACAAAAACTGGATGGCTCCTTGCTAGTGGAGGCCATGGGCCAGCTGACAGACCTGTTCAGGTAGTTTGTCAGAATGTCTATCAGTGGATTCGCTGCGGGTGGCATGGGACCAGTCTTGATCCCCTGCCTACCGGTGTTGCTGAGGTCGTGGAGTGTCGCGTTGTTTTGTGTCAGTCTTTTGCTGAGGGTGGTTCTCTGGCGCGGTGGGAGCTCGTTAGAGTAGGTCTGTTGTGCGTGTCCATGTAAAATGGGGGGTGGGCTATTAACTAAATGCCGTAAGTCAATTGTGCGGTAGTCCTGCCTGGTGGTTTGTCGTAGTTCGGGCACTTGTCTTCTCAGGTGTCCGCCTGGTGCCGGTTTGCCCGTTGCGCCTTGTAGGCGGTGGAGGACGAGGCACCGGTGGTGGCTGGTTGGAACGGTCTTACGTTTGCTACATCCCAGGTGTGTTGGGTCTTTGGCCTCTGGTCGGTATTAGCTTGTTCCTGTCTCGGTGATAGGCCCAGCGCTGTCAGTACTGAATCTATTTCGGATGGGTCAGTGACCCGTGTGGATACGCCTTTATGCGTGATGAGCAAGCTTCTGGGGAATGCCCAACGGTATGGGACTGAGGCTTGGCGGAGAGCGGTCGTCAGGGGTTTGAAGAGGCTTCTCCACTGCAACGTGGGCCTGGATAGATCTTGGAAGAACGACAGGCTAGCTGTCTCGAAGAGGTGGGATGCTTTTCCTCTCACCGCTGCCATAAAGGTTGCTTGGCCTGTCTGCGTTTGAAATTGGAGGATGATGTCTCTCGGGGTGTCTGCTGGGGCTCTAGCGGCTCTTGGGATTCTGTAAGACCCGTCCGTTAGGGCCGTCTTCATCTGTTGTGGTGTGAGCAGGGAGGCGAGAAGCCGCCCAAGATATCCCTGTATGCCTTCCTGGGTCACTGTTTCAGGGACCCCTCTGATCTTCACGTTGCGGCGTCTGTGCCGGTCCTCCATTGCGTCCAGGCGGGTGGTGAGCAGTGCCTGGGCGCGCTGCAGCTCTGTGTTGTGAGCCTCTAATTGTACACAGCGTGCGGCGAGGCCCTGCGAATCCGCCTCCGTCTTCCTCACTCGCCCCTCCACGGTGTGAATCTCTTCTCTCAGAACCGCCATGTCTGCCGCGAAGAGGGAACGTATATTGCATAGGAGGGCTTTTATGTCCCCTTTGGTGGAGGGTAGGTCGTTGTCTTCGTCTGAAGATACACTGTGTAATCCCCCTGTGTCGGGGAAGTCGTCCAGCTCATCAAGGAGCTGTTCTGCGGAGGACGCCGAGGCAGAGTCGCCATTTTGGATCGGCGCGGGGGTTACTGCGGCCTTGGCGGGTCGGAGGAGAAGTGCTCCGATATCACGAGCCCCTGTCAGTTTTGCGGCCCCCCGGTGTTTGGGCTTCTTTCCCATCTCTGGGTGCTGTGAAATAGGGTGGTATTTCGCTTTTTGTTCCGTTATTTTACGGATTTTCAGGAATTCCGCTTCCTCCCTGGAGACTAAATCTGTTGGGGCCAACTCCTCTGCCCGAGGTCGTGGCGCAAATTACAGGGAAAGTGAGCGCTGCCCAGATGGCCAAGCAGGCGAACCTGCAGCAAGCAGAGACAACCCCGCTACCAGGATCTATGAATGGGGGGTAGCGTAAAAAGATCAATAATGCTGCTTTTAAAAATTTTGCCGATAGGGAAATGGACATTGGCACGTACTTACAAGACTTTGAAAGGCAATGCGCTCTGGAGAGTCTAGAAAAAGCAAGTTGGGCTGCAATACTGAGCAGAAAAATTATCCGGCCGAGCAACAGAAGCTTACCGGGCTATACCCGACTCAGACATACATGACTAAAAGCGGGTAAGAGACATTTTACTGGCCCAGAATGCTGTTACTCCTAAAGTTCACAGGAGGAAATTTCGGGGTTTAAGAAAGGGAAGCAGAGATTCCTACTCCGAATGGGCATTCTGGATGCACCAGGCAGTTAGTAACTGGGTGCAGGGCTGCCAAGCAACAACTTTGGATGATGCTGTACAACTGATGTTACTGGAACAGTTCTTTGATTACACTCCAACGAAGTCCCGGGACTGGGTAAGAGATCGGAAGCCGGGCACCGTGGAGGAGGCCGCCCGGTTGGCCGACGAGTATCAAGATGGGAGGAGGGTGGAAACTAGTGGAGGGCGACCCACCCTCAGGCCTTCATACCCTCAAAGCAATCCCCCGCCATCCAGACCCGTTACCGTCACCCCAGCACCCCTCCGGCGACCTGCGTCCCTACGCTATCACTGCCAGCAACCGGGACATTTCAAACAGAACTGCCCCAGCCGAAACCGAGGGAGCTAGGAAAAACCAGTGACACAACCAGCCAGGGCCTCTGCTCACTGCTATCACCAGGAGGTTCCCCTGGCCCAAGGGCACAGCAAGGAGCAGTGGACAGTTGAGCACAAGGCGAACCCGGTCCAGGCTGCAGGCGACAACAGGGAGCACCACCGGCAGTGGGTCACCATCGACGGCCAAGAGGCAAGGGGCCTTAGGGACACTGGCGCCACCCTCACCCTGGTGCAGTCGCACAAGATGAGTGCCCAAGCCCGCACCATCAACACGGTAGCTGTGAGGGTGGCAGGAAGAGCCATCCATAAGCTCTTCACGGTCCAAGTGCACCTTAACTGGGGCTCAAGAGCCAAGAATTTGGAGGTCGGCATCATGAAGGAACTACCAGCCAAGGTGTTACTGGGAAACGACCTGGGCTGCCTGACCTCCCAACTCACCCAGCCGTGTCCAGAGGAGACATACCCAGTGACCAAAAGATCACAAGCCCACCAGGGGGAGCCATCGCACTCCAAGGACCCTCAGGTACGACCCTCTGTCCCTCCTTTAGCTGAAGTCCACCTCCCGTTTTGGGGTACCCCCTGGGTTTTGAGCAAGAGCAGAGGACAGTCCCCACATTAGAAGGGTATAGGAAGGAGGCAGTGTCCCCCCAAGGAGATATAGCCCAGGAAAGAGTTGAGTGGGAAATGGGTTTATTATAACGGGTGACAGGAGGAGTGGGGAAGGGGGCTGCGCAGATACCCAAAATGCAGTTTGTAGTGCCCCGTAAATATAGAGCTGAGCTACTCAAACTCAGCCACGACATTCCCCTAGCTGGACATCTGGGTGTCCGGAAAAAAGACCGGCTCACCCAGACCTTCTTCTGGCCAGGGATCACACGGGACCTGCAAAATTACTGCAGGACATGTGACACTTGCCAAAAGACAGGGAAGAGGGATGACCACCCAAAGGCAAAAACTACACCCTTTACCCATAATAGAGGTGCCCTTCCACCGAGTAGCGCTGGACTTTTTAGGTCCCCTTGGTAAGCCCAGCACCTTGGGAAAGAGCTAAATGCTCACAGTAGTAGATTATGCTACCAGATAACCGGAGGCTGTAGTTCTTTCTAATATAGAGGCAGAGACTGTGGCAGAAGCCCTAGGGAAATATTTTACTAGGGTAGGCTTCCCTAGGGAGATTCTATCGGACCAGGGGACCCAGTTTACGGCAACTGTGCTCCAACAGTTATGGCAAAGTTGCGGCGTAAAACCCTTGTTTAGCTCTCCTTACCACCCACAGATGAACAGACTCTGAACGTTTTAATGGCATGCTCAAGCAGATGCTTAAGATGTTCGCAGCCTCCTGTCAGCAGTGGGAAAGGTTCCTTCCACATCTCTTGTTTGGATTCTCCACCTTTGAACTCCTTTACGGGAGAAAAGTACGGTGACCACTGGATCTCATACGGGAGCACTGGGAGGGTAAAACAGGAGAGGAGGGAATACCTATCGTGCCGTATGTTCTGGAGTGGAGTGATCACTTGCAGGCTCACACTAACTCCGTCAGGGAGAGTCTGCAGGCTGCACAGCGGCGCAAGAAGAGATGGTATGATAGGGGTGCCTGTAACAGATGCCCTGATCGCTGGACTTATATTTGGTTTTCGTTCTGACTGATTCTTTTCATGCCATTCGCCTAAAACGGTATACGAACGAAGACAAACAGAATTTACCCAGTTGGTTTGTATACCGAACGCTTTACCAAACATTTCGACCACCCAGGACTTGTGTGCCGTCAATTGACCTCTTTGACACCTCTTTGATTCCAAACCGCAACTCTGAACAGTCTAAGTGGTTCACCGGGTAGCCGTTGATTCGTATGCAAGAACACGTGGCGGCGGCCATCTTGTTTTGTCGAACGCATCCAGCGGTGTTTGGTCAGCAGGTGTATGGAACTATTTTCGGACACTCAGCCCAAACACCACTGAGACTTCCAAGATCACTTAATGGCAGCCACTGGTTCATCCCAAACCATCCGAAAGAGGCGGCATTCGGTGAAACCCAACTCCCGAACAAGGGGCACGCGGCTAGTTTTCCCACGGACACTTTTTGTTATATTGGAAACCCACGAAAAAGACCGGCTGCACAGCCCAATTCTATGGAACTATTCTGTGCAGGAACCTATTCTTTCAGGAAGTGTTCTGGAGACTTGGAGGAAGACAGATGTGATTCCTCTATTCAAAAAGGGTTGCCTGGAAATTATAGACCTACGAGCTTAACTTCTGTGGCTGGGAAGGTATTTAAAAAGTTATCAAGGGATAATATTCAAGAATTCCTTTAGAAGAATGTGGTTATAAGCAAAAATCAGCATGGTTTTATGAAGCACAGGTCTTGTCAAACTAACTTGATTGAAGTAAGTAGAAGTATGTATCAGGGTGTTGCAGTGGATGCAATCTTTTTAGATTTTGCCAAGGCGTTTGATACAGTTCCACACAATAGATTAGTGTTCAAACTCAAAGAAATTGGTCTAGATGAAAATTCTTGTTCTTGGGTAGAACATTGGCTTAAAAATAGAGTACAAAGAGTTGTCATTCATGGTAAATTTCCAAGCTGCACAGAGTTGGCAAGTGGTGTCCCTCAGGGTTCTGTTCTGGGACCCCCTTCTGTAACAGATGCCCTGTTCCTAAATATTATGTTTTATTTTGCCTGGATCGGTATACAAACCCAACCGAACAACTACCTTGCCCACGAACAGTTCCTTAAGATACTGTTCGACATTTTGAACTACACAAAACAGACCAGCCGCACCAGCTGAATTCATGGAACTATTCTGGGCAGGAGCCTTGTGTGCGGCCGGGGAGAAATGGGACTTCCATATAACTTTTGAATCCCTGGGTGATTTTTGAATATGTTGTTCCCCCAGATCGGGGCTATCAGGAGATGTATGTTTTATGGGGTTTCAGAGGGATTGTATGCCATCTGTGGGAGTTTCTCAGATTACAATGCTATTGTGATTGGTGTGCACATTTGTGTCCCTGTGCTCAACAAGGTCCATGTGGGTGTCACCATTGCTTGGGGACTTGCATAAAAAGCCAGTGGCTGCCATTATAGTTGAGTTCTGCGTAACCCTCAACACGTAGCCTTGTCTAATGCTTGTAGGGTAGGGAACCTTCTTCACAACTAATCACTAGCTCTTGTAAGAGACCTACTATCTATTCGGATGATTGGTCGGCTGAGATGACATCTGGAGAACACTGCAGCACTGCTCCTTCTAAGGGAAAAGGATATCCCTAACAGCGTATACCCCTTGATACTCAGGGTGGCCATTACAGTGCCCAAGATCGGGTTCTAGAACTAAGACAGAAGGTGTTAGCCTTGAAGCCAACCAAAAAGGACAAGCTTCAGACCGCCTGGCAGGGACCCTTCCGGGTAGTGGAGCGCATAAGCAACACTACTTACATTGTGGTGAAATGTTCAGATGAAAGGATACGGAGATCCTTTAATGTGAACATGCTCAAACCCTACTTCGAGAGGGTAGAGGACGTGGCTGCAGTATGTGCCCCCTCGTTCGAAGATAGCGAGGGCCTTCCCCTACCTAATTTACTTGCACCGTCCCCGGTTACGGTAGAGCATGTCAACCTAAGCGACCAACTGAACTCTTTAGAAAAGGACGAGACAACACCGGCTGCTCCAGGGATACAGGGACATGTTCCCTTCATCGCCGGGGTACACCTCCGCAGCAGTCCACTGAGGTGAGACCTAGTAAGAAACCCCCCTACGACAACAACCCTACCGAATCCCTGAAGCCGTCAGAGATAGCATGCTGAACGATATTCAGGAGATGTTGAAGCTAGGAGTCATAGAACAGTTCCAGAGTCCCTGGGCTTCTCCAGTAGTGCTGGTACCCAAGCGAGACGGTATGAATCGCTTCTGTATCGACTACCGGAAACCTAACGACAGGACAGTTACTGATGCCTACCCTATGCCCAGGATCGACGAGGTAATTGACTACCATAGATCTGGGTGTAAAGGTTATCGGCAAATCCTCCGGGAGCCGGCGGCCATCCCTAAGTCGACATTCGTCACCCCATTTGGGCTGTACCAGTTTAAGGTTATGCCTTTTGGGATGAAGAATGCTCCAGCTACCTTTCAGAGGATGGCTGACAGGCTCCTAGAGGGATTTCAGGACTTTGCGTGTGCGTATTTAGATGACATAGCCATCTACAGCCGCACATGGGAGGACCACCTGAGACACTTGTCTATGGTACTTAAGCAAATTCGGGCAGCAGGGCTCACCTTGAAGCCTGGCAAGTGCCAACACCTTGTCATAGGGTAGGTTCTGGCAAACAGCGACCAGAACCCGCCAAGGTAGAGGCTATTGCCAACTGGCCACAGCCCCGTACTAAAATGCAAATGTTAGCTTTCCTGGGGACCGCGGGCTACTATCGCAAATGTGTCCCTGATTATGGGCCTAGCTCTAGTCTGGGCATTAAAGGACCACTATAGTGCCAGGAAAACATACTCGTTTTCCTGGCACTATAGTGCCCTGAGGGTGCCCCCACCCTCAGGGACCCCTCCCGCCCGACTCTGGAAAGGGGAAAGGGGTAAAACTTACCTTTTTTCCAGCGCTGGGCGGGGAGCTCTCTGCCTCCGATCCTCCCCGTCGGCTGAATGCGCGCGCATTCAGCCGGTCGCATAGGAAAGCATTATCAATGCTTTCCTATGGACGCTTGCGTGCTCTCACTGTGATTTTCACAGTGAGAATCACGCAAGCGCCTCTAGCGGCTGTCAATGAGACAGCCGCTAGAGGCTTTGGGGGAAGGCTTAACCCATTTATAAATATAGCAGTTTTTCTGAAAGTGCTATGTTTATAAAAAAATGGGTTAACCCTAGCTGGACTTGGCACCCAGACCACTTCATTAAGCTGAAGTGGTCTGGGTGCCTAGAGTGGTCATTTAAAGAAGTTACAGCCCTATTTCTACAGTTGTCCATTCACCTTGATGACTGACCACAACCCTCCCATCTGGCTGAATTGTGTTGCTGGGGATAACCCTTGCTTGTTGCACTGGAGCCTGGCCCTACTACTTCAACCTGCAGTACAGGCCAGGTAAACATAACGGCAACGCCGATGGGTTATCCCGGCAGATGAAGTTGGAACCCTGAATGCTTTCCCAAGCCAACCTGTTGGGGTCTAGGTAGGTATGCCGCAACATGGAACTAAGGGGGAGCAATGTGACGAAACTACATCCTTGGCACCTGTTGCAGAACCCTTGTTCATCCATTCGTGTGTTTCCCCCTCTGTATAATTGTGTTTCCACCTAGCTTTTTGTGTATTGTGCCTTGGTTCCTGTTCGGGAGCAGTTCACCCTTATTGGGAAACTTGCATAAAAGGCCAGTGTGCCTCCATTAGAGTTCCTGCTTAACTAGACATGTGCAATTCGTTTCGGGCCAAATATGTATTCGTCTTTCAGCCAAATTTACTAATACTAAGTAAAGATTACTAAGTATTAGTACATTATGCCCCTACTCGCTATACCGCGAGTAGGGGCAAGTCTATTAAACAGTGAGCCGCCTGTGGCCCCCACCCCTGAGCGGTGGGTGGGGGCCCTAAATCAGAATAGGGGGGGAACCAATGTCCGGCCCCCATCCCTGAGTGGTGGGTGTGGGCCCTAAATTAGAATGAGGGGGGAGGACCTAATGTCCTCCCCTCTGGCCCCCACCCCTGAGCGGTGGGTGGGGGCCCTAAATACTAATTACAGGGGAGGGCCTAATGTCTTCCCACCTGGCCCCCACCCAGCGGTCAGGTGGGGGCCCTAAATAAAAAAAAATAACCCCCTCCCCATGCAACTAGGGGTCCCCAAACCCCTAGTCACCTCCCTCCCCCAAAAAATTAACCCCTACCTACCCCCCCACCCTAAAAATAATAAGGGGGGACCATTTAACCAAGTACCTGTAAACAAATTAAAATAAATTTACCATTTGATGTTTTCTTTCTTCTAAAATCTTTTTTCAGCCTCAAAAAAGGCCATATAAAAATCCATAATGACCGACGCAATAAAAAAAAACGAGCACAAAAAAAAAAAATTCATCTTCACCAGGCGAGGGCTCGGCATAGACTGAGCTCTGCAGGGCGGGGAAGGCTTATAAAGCCTTGCCCCGCAATTAGGCACAGAGCACTCTGATTGGTGGGTTTAAGCCAACCAATCAGAGTGCTCTGACAAGTAAATGAAGGTAAGTCTCTACATTTACCTGTCACAGCACTCTGATTGGTTGGTTTGAAATCCACCAGAGTACTCTGTGTCATTTTACACAGCGTGGGAAAGTTCTTTGGCATTTCCCAATGCTGTGTAATTTGACTCATAACTCTCTGATTGATTACTTAATACACCAATCAGATTGGAGGCCAGGGGGGAGGACATTAGGTCCCCTCCCCACCGCTCAGGGGTGGGGGCCTTAGGTCCCACCCCCTCATTCTAATTTAGGACCCCCCAGAGGTCCCCCACCCACCGCTCAGGGTAGGGGGCGGGGGGCAACTGGTCCCCCACCTTATTCTAATTTAGGGCCCCCACCCTCCGCTCAGTAGTGGGGGCTCGGGAGGGGGGACCATTTTTTTTTTTTTTTTTAACAGTGAGCAGCCACAGGTTGCTCACTGTTTACTAGACATGCCCCTACTTGCGGTATGGCAAGTAGGGGCATAATTTACTAATACTAAGTAATCTTTACTTAGTATTCGTAAATTTGGCTGAAAGACCAAATACATATTTGGCCCGAAACGAATTGCACATGTCTAGTTAAGCAGGAACTCTAATGGAGGCACACTGGCCTTTTATGCAAGTTTAGGTCTTTCAGCCTATTGGAAGATAACTCCTTAATACCATGGGAATTAGGGAGTTATCTACCAAGCGGCTGCAAGAGAAGTTCCGAAGTGTCGAAGTTCCGAATTTTGGAATGCCGAACCGAACCAAAAAAATTTCCCATGCACATGCCTATTCTTAACCCTCAACAAGTAGCTTGGTCTCGTGATTGGAGGGGTACTGCTATATTCACACTGGGGATTGCTATACTCCTTATACTGCCCTGGGTTCTAATCACTATCTCTTCTAAGAGCTGTTCCTGATATGCTCTCTGGAATAGGAGAGGTCTTTCCCACACGGTCCTGGATACCAGAGATTGGTCCCGGGTGGGAGGAAGACAGCAAGATTCCAGCTAAGCTACAGTGGTTGTGGAGTTTGCGGTGCTTGTGATGTCCGGTGCGGTGCTTATGGTCCTCAGCGTCAGCTAGGAAGCATCTATTGGCGGAGGTGCCCAGTCAGGGTGCCAGGTGATCCGTCACAGTTATATAATGTTTACACTTCCTTCATTGCAAATTCTGTTTAACCCCTTAAGGACGGAGCCAAATGTACACGTTGTTAACAAAACAAAATGTAAACAAAACCTGGCATTTGCGCTACATGTCTGTCCAACCGTAATACACCTCTTTCATAGTAAATGCACCCACCCTTATTATATATCATTTTATTCAGGGAAAACAGGGCTTTCATTTAATATCAAATATTTAGCTATGAAACATAATTTAATATGAAAAAAATGGGAGAAAATACGATTTTTTTTTATTTTTTTAGTTCTACATGACATTTTAACGGTCAATGTCATAATACTGTTTGCTTTTACTGCAATAAAATACACATTTGTATTCAGTAAAGTCTCACGTGTAAGACAGTACCCCCTATGTACAGGTTTTATGGCGTTTTGGGAAGTTACAGGGTCAAATATAGCACGTTACATTTGAAATTGAAATTCGCCAGATTGGTTACGTTGCCTTTGAGACTGTATAGTAGCCGGGAATGAAATTTACACCCATAATGGCATACCATTTGCAATAGTAGACAACCCAAGGTATTGCAAATGGGGTATGTCCAGTCTTTTTAGTAGCCATTTGGTCACAAACACTGGCCAAAGTTAGCGTTAGTATTTGTTTGTGTGAAAAATGCAAAAAAAAGCCAATTTTGGCCAGTGTTTGTGACTAAGTGGCTACTAAAAAAGACTGGACATACCCCGTTTGCAATACCTTGGGTTGTCTACTATTGCAAATGGTATGCCATCATAGGGGTCATTTTCATTCTTGGGCTACCATAGGGTCTCAAAGGCAATGTAACCAATCTGGCGAATTTTAATGTGAAAAAAATGAAACGCAAGCCTTATATTTGATGCTGTAAGTTTTGAAAACACCATAAAACCTGTACATGAGGGGTACTATTGTACTCGGGAGACTTCGCTGAACACAAATATTTGTGTTTCAAAACAGTAAAAAGTATCACAGCAATAATATTGTCTGTGTAATGCTGTTTGTGCGTGAAAAATGCAAAAAACTTCACTTTTACTGGCGATATCATCGTTGTAATACATTTACTGTTTTGAAACACTAATATTTGTGTTCAGCGAAGTCTCCCGAGTAGAACAGTACCCCCCATGTACAGGTTTTATGGTGTCTTGGAAAGTTATAGAGTTAAATATAGTGCTAGCAAATTAAATTCCCTTTACTTTCGGCATGGGTTGTCAGGCAGGTCCTGCTAATTGTAATTAATTAAGATACCTAATTATGTAAAAATAATACATAAATATATATGTAGAATTAATATATGTATATATATATATACGTATGTGTATATATATCTATATAATTTTAAAAAATATTTTTATTTATATATAGGTATATATATATATATATAGTGATATATACGTATATATTTATGTATATAGATATATATATTATTTCGTTCTACGTGTATTTTGATATATATATATATTAATTTCACAATACAGTTAGAACGAAATAACACATCTATATATTTTTTAATTATTTATTTTTAACGTATTTACATTTTAATTTTTTTTATAATATATATATATAACAATAATTATATATATATTTAATCAGTATCAGTCTACGTGTAATTTGATATTAATATATATATATATATATATATATATATAATTATATATATATTAATAGTAAAATACACCTAGACGGTGTACATGTGTGTATGTATGTGTGTGTATATATATACTTAGATCATATATATATATATATAATATATATATATGATCTAAGTATATATAATTTTTTTTTTTACACCATTAACTTATTTTAATTTTATTTTCAGCCAGCAGGGGGACCACCTGTAATTACAGGCAGCCCCCCTGCTGGCAATGCAGAAGCCAGCTATCCCGGCCATGTGATTGTGGGGTCCTCGCTAGGACCCCACTCTCACACGGCCGGGGGGCTTCCTGGAGGACGGACGTGCCTGGGAGTCCCCCCCACCGCGATCGCCGGCATGCGTTTAGAGCCGCCTATTAGAGGGCGTAATAGTACGCCCTCCGGTCTAAAGGGGTTAATGTATCACTTCTTATCTCCTGCTCTGTTAATAACTTGCTAGAGGCTGCAGGAGCATCCTGTGTGTAATGGTAGTTCAATTTACAGAGCAGAAGATAAAACTTTTAAAGTAAGTTACATCTGATTGAAAATGAAACCATTTTGTTTTCATGCATTATGTGTCAGTCACAGCCAGGGGATGTTTGGCTAGAGCAGCATAAACAGAAACTAAAGTGATTGTCTTCTAAACGGCAGTGAATTGAGCAGTGAAACTTTAGAGGCATGATCTATACACAAAAACTGCTTCATTAAGCTAAAGTTGTTTTGGTGACTATAGTATAAATCCTAGGGGAAATCCTAATGCAAGCATGGCGATTGGTGCGCATGTGCATTAGGTCTTACTCCCAAGGAGTGAAGGCAGGGCCAAGTCAGCGCTGGGGACATCCGGGCTGGGCCCAGGTAAATGACAAAAGAGTAAGCTCTAGTGCCAGGAAAATTAGTTTTTCTTTAAAAACTCGCTCCAGTCAGACTCCATTTCCCAGCATGCCTTGCTCCAGTCAGACTCCATTCCCGGTGTATCGACATGCCTCCCTCCAGTCAGACTCCATTTCCCGGCATGCACCCCTCCAGTCAGACTCCATTCCCGGTGTATCGACATGTCTTCCTCCAGTCAGACTCCATTTCCCGGCATGCCTCCAGTCAGACTCCATTTCCCGGCATGCCTCCCTCCAGTCAGACTCCATTTCCCGGCATGCCTCGCTTCAGTCACACTCCATTACCCGGCATGCCTCGCTCCAGTCAGACTCCATTTCCCGGCATGCCTGGCTCCAGTCAGACTCCATTACCCGGCATGCCTCGCTCCAGTCAGACTCCATTTCCCGGCATGCCTCCCTCCAGTCAGACTCCATTTCCCGGCATGCCTCCCTCCAGTCAGACTCCATTTCCCGGCATGCCTCGCTCCAGTCACACTCCATTTCCCGGCATGCTTTGCTCCAGTCACACTCCATTTCCCGGCATGCCTCGCTCCAGTCACACTCCATTACCCGGCAGGCCTGGCTCCAGTCAGACTCCATTACCCGACATGCCTCGCTCCAGTCAGACTCCATTTTTCGGCATGCCTCCCTCCAGTCAGATTCCATTTCCCGACATGCCTCGCTCCAGTCAGACTCCATTTCCCGACATGCCTCGCTCCAGTCAGACTCCATTACCTGGCATGCCTCGCTCCAGTCAGACTCCATTACCCGGCATGCCTCGCTCCAGTCAGACTCCATTTCCCGACATGCCTCGCTCCAGTCAGACTCCATTACCCGACATGCCTCGCTCCAGTCAGACTCCATTTCCCGGCATGCCTCCCTCCAGTCAGACTCCATTTCCCGGCATGCCTCGCTCCAGTCACACTCCATTTTCCGGCATGCTTTGCTCCAGTCACACTCCATTTCCCGGCATGCCTCGCTCCAGTCACACTCCATTACCCGGCATGCCTCGCTCCAGTCAGACTCCATTTCCCGGCATGCCTCGCTCCAGTCAGACTCCATTACCCGGCATGCCTCGCTCCAGTCAGACTCCATTTCCGGCATGCCTCCTCCAGTCAGACTCGGCATGCCTCCTCAGTCAGACTCATTTCCGGCATACTTCGCTCAGTCACCTCATTTCGGCATGCTTTGCTCCAGTCACCTCCATTTCCGGCATGCCTAAGAGGACTCATTCATTCCCGGCATGCCTCGCTCCAGTCAGACTCCATTTCCCGGCATGCTTTGCTCCAGTCAGACTCCATTTCCCGGCATGCCTCCCTCCAGTCAGACTCCCTTACCCGGCATGCCTCGCTCCAGTCAGACTCCATTACCCGGCAGTCAGACTCCATTACCCGGCATGCCTCCCTCCAGTCAGACTCCATTTCCCGGCATGCCTCCCTCCAGTCAGACTCCATTTCCCGGCATGCCTCCCTCCAGTCAGACTCCATTACCCGGCATGCTTTGCTCCAGTCAGACGCCATTCCCGACATGCCTCGCTCCAGTCAGACTCCATTACCCGGCATGCCTCCCTCCAGTCACACTCCATTTCCGACATGCCTTGCTCCAGTCACACTCCATTTCCCGACATGCCTCGCTCCAGTCAGACTCCATTACCCGGCATGCCTCGCTCCAGTCAGACTCCATTACCCGGCATGCCTCGCTCCAGTCAGACTCCATTTCCCGACATGCCTCGCTCCAGTCAGACTCCATTTCCCGGCATGCCTCATTCCCGGCATGCCTCCCTCCAGTCACACTCCATTTCCCGACATGCCTCGCTCCAGTCACACTCCATTTCCCGGCATGCCTCGCTCCAGTCACACTCCATTTCCCGGCATGCCTCGCTCCAGTCAGACTCCATTACCCGGCATGCTTTGCTCCAGTCAGACGCCATTCCCGGCATGCCTCCCTCCAGTCACACTCCATTTCCCGACATGCCTCGCTCCAGTCAGACTCCATTTCCCGACATGCCTCGCTCCAGTCACACTCCATTTCCCGACATGCCTCGCTCCAGTCAGACTCCATTTCCCGGCATGCCTCGCTCCAGTCAGACTCCATTTCCCGGCATGCCTCCCTCCAGTCACACTCCATTTCCCGACATGCCTCGCTCCAGTCAGACTCCATTACCCGGCATGCCTCCCTCCAGTCAGACTCCATTTCCCGGCATGCCTCGCTCCAGTCAGACTCCATTTCCCGGCATGCCTCGCTCCAGTCAGACTCCATTGCTCTGGCGAGGCTTTGCGCAGGCTTCTCTCAGTTCCGGGTTTGCACACATGTCGTGCGAGTCTCTGTCGTCCTGTCTGTCGCGACTCTCGGCAGCCATCGATGATCCGGCCGGGGTTCCCGGGGCCCTGAGCTCCCTGCGGAGCCGTCACGTGTCCCGGACGGGAGGCGCCGAGCTGTTTCGCAAGCGAGGGGGACTGGCGCTTCTTCTCGCCTTATTCACGGAACCTTCGCGAGCGGCGATACTGGGAACATCCCGGCGGAACCTGGAGCTCGCGCTGAGCCTGCTGGGAAATAGCTGCACTGAGGCTGGGAGCCGAGTACAGGTTAGACACGCCCCCTCAGAACAACCAGCCAATCACCACGCGGTCTGACACGCCCATTCTAAACTCACTAGCCAATCTCTGCACAGTCTGAGGTCAGACACGCCCCCTGTCAATCCCAGTATGGGGTCAGACACGCCCCCTGTCAATCCCAGTATGGGTCAGACACGCCCCCTGTCAGTCCCTCTATGGGGGTCAGACACGCCCCCCTGTCAGTCCCTCTATGGGGGTCAGACACGCCCCCTGTCAGTCCCTCTATGGGGGTCAGACACGCCCCCTGTCAATCCCAGTATGGGGTCAGACACGCCCCCTGTCAATCCCAGTATGGGTCAGACACGCCCCCTGTCAGTCCCTCTATAGAGGTCAGACCGCCCCCCTGTCGGTCCCTCTATGGGGGTCAGACCGCCCCCTGTAAGCCCCCCTGTGGTCACTCTATGGGGTCGAACCGCCCCCCCTGTCAGTCCCTCTATGGGGTCCGGCCGCCCCCCTGTCAGGAGAATCCCTCTATGGGGGTCAGACGCGCCCAGCTGTCAGTCCACTCTATAGGGGTCCGAGACCGCGCCCGCTGTCAGTCCCTCTATGGGGGTCAGACTTAAGCCCCCTGTCAGTCCCCTCTATGGGGTCAGACCAGCCCCCCCTGTCAGTCCCTCTATGGGGGTCAGACAGCCCCTGTCAGTCCACTCTATGGGGGGTGAACCAAGCGCCCCCTGTCAGTCCCTCTATGGGGGTCAGACCGCCCCCTGTCAGTCCCTCTATGGGGTCAGACAAGCCCCCTGTCAGTCCCTCTATGGGGGTCAGACCGCCCCCTGTCAGTCCCTCTGTAGGTCCAGACCAAGCCCCACAGCCAGTCCCTCTATGGGGGTCAGACACGCCCCCCTGTCAGTCCCTCTATGGGGGTCCGACACGCCCCCCTGTCAGTCCCTCTATGGGGGTCAGACACGCCCCCCTGTCAGTCCCTCTATGGGGGTCAGACACGCCCCCCTGTCAGTCCCTCTATGGGGGTCAGACACGCCCCCCTGTCAGTCCCTCTATGGGGGTCAGACACGCCCCCCTGTCAGTCCCTCTATGGGGGTCAGACACGCCCCCCTGTCAGTCCCTCTATGGGGTCAGACACGCCCCCCTGTCAGTCCCACCAATCCCTGTACGGTCAGACACGCCCCTTATTGATACAACCAATCCCTGTATGGGGTCAGACACGCCTCCTTAATGCCCTCCACTGCTGAGCCCTGTACTTGTTCAGGAGGGATAACACTTTTACACATTTGAGATTTCTCTCGTTTTTCAAGTATGTCCTGGGTCCACAAAACGTTTGCATTGTATACATTTATATATTCTCACACGTAACAGGTAATAAATAAATCCAAGCATAACAGGTGCATTCTGTGCTGAGGTATATTGCCATAGATTTTAGATTAAATAAAGATTTGATTGTGTCCCAGAGGTTATTCCATAATTGTGGTGCTCTGTAGGAAAAGGAGGATCGAGCCACTTTATTTTTGTATTGCAGTATGCTAAATATCGTGCTAGTACTGGATCGGAGGGTATAGGAGGTGGGAACAGCCGTGGAGAGCACAAGGCTGGAAAGATGAAGTGCGTCGGGATTCCAGCAACAGCCAGTTTTGGTCTTTTAACATGTCACAGTGGTGGGTCAAGTAATTACATTCTAGTACAAAGCGGCAGAACAAATTATATAACGTATTAAGTTTATTAAGGTGGGTTTGCGGTGCAGGTGCATACACTACATCCCCATAATCAATGACCGGCATTAGCATTTGTTGCACTATCTGTTTCCTTTACTGTAGGGCTTAGGCAGGATTTGTTTCTGTACAGGGCACCTAGTTTTGGAAGTTTAATTGAAAGCGATTCTTTCAATGTGAAGGCCAAAGGATAGATTACGGTCTAGCAACATACCTAGATATTTAAAAGCGCAGACTGCTGTCATTCTGCCATTTGAATTTGTTCTGATACACAATTGTTGATTTTGTAGTTTATGTAATTTAGGTACAGTTCCAAAGATCATTATAATGGTTTTGTCAGTGTTTTTAGGAAGAGTTTATCCGCTATCCATTTTTCTACCTCTGTGAATTGGTTTTGGAGCACAGCCTCAAGCTGCGGTAGCTTGGGTTTACTAGGGTAGATGACCATGTTTTCTGCATACATGTTTACAGTTGAGGATTTGCAGGCGTTGGGCAGATCATTTATAAATAATGTGAATAGCAGGGGTTAGTGTATGGGGCCTTGGGGAACACCACACGTGACTGGAAGAGGTAGGGAAGCGCAATCAGAAATGACTGCATATTGCAATAGGTCTGAAACATACGATCAAAACCAGGTTAGCGGACGAACACCAACGCCTGAGTTTTTAAGCTTTTGCAAAAGAATGCCATGGTCTACTGTGTCGAAGGCCTTGGCAAAATCAAGGAAAATAGCTCCAGTTAAAGGAGCACAATAGTGCCAGGAAAACACTCGCCATATAGGGCCACCCTCCCGCTGGGCAGAATGGGTTAAAACCCCTTCAGCCACTCCCCTTTCTCCAGTGCCAGGCTCCCTCTGTTCTGGGGAGCTCTCCACCCCCCCTACCGACGTCAGATCCGAATGCGCATGTGCGTCAAGAGCCGCGCACGCATTCAAACCGCCCATATGAAATCATTACTTAACCCCTTAAGGACAGAGCCAAATGTACACGTTGTGAACAAAACAAAATGTAAACAAAACCTGGCATTTGCGCTACATGTCTGTCCAACCGTAATTCACCTCTTTCATAGTAAATGCACCCACCCTTATTATATATCATTTTATTCAGAGGAAACAGGGCTTTCATTTAATATCAAATATTTAGCTGTAAAACATAATTTAATAGGAAAAAATGGGTGAAAATAAGATTTTTTTAAATTTTTTTAGTTCTACGTGACATTTTAACTGTCAATGTCATAATACTGTTTGCTTTTACTGCAATAAAATACACATATTTGTATTCAGCAAAGTCTCACGTGTAAAACAGTACCCCCTATGTACAGGTTTTATGGCGTTTTAGGAAGTTACAGGGTCAAATATAGCACGTTACATTTGAAATTGAAATTCGCCAGATTGGTTACATTGCCTTTGGGACTCTATAGTAGCCCAGGAATGAAATTTACACCCATAATGGCATACCATTTGCAATAGTAGACAACCCAAGGTATTGCAAATGGGGTATGTCCAGTCTTTTTTAGTAGCCATTTGGTCACAAACACTGGCCAAAGTTAGCGCTAGTATTTGTTTGTGTGTGAAAAATGCAAAAAACGCCAATTTTGGCCAGTGTTTGTGACTAAGTGGCTACTAAAAAAGACTGGACATACCCTGTTTGCAATACCTTGGGTTGTCTACTATTGCAAATGGTATGCCATCATAGGGGTAATTTTCATTCTTGGGCTACCATAGGGTCTCAAAGGCAACGTAACCAATCTGGCGAATTTTAATGTGAAAAAAATGAAACGCAAGCCTTATATTTGACGCTGTAACTTTTGAAAACACCATAAAACCTGTACATGAGGGGTACTGTTGTACTCGGGAGACTTCGCTGAACACAAATATATGTGTTTCAAAACAGTAAAAAGTATCACAGCAATAATATTGTCCGTGTAAGTGCTGTTTGTGCGTGAAAAATGCAAAAAACATCACTTTTATTGGCGATATCATCGTTGTAATACATTTTACTGTATTGAAACACTAATATTTGTGTTCAGCGAAGTCTCCTGAGTAGAACAGTACCCCCCATGTACAGGTTTTATGGTGTCTCGGAAAGTTATAGGGTTAAATATAGTGCTAGCAAATTAAATTCCCTTTACTATTGGCATGGGTTGTCAGGCAGGTCCTGCTAATTGTAATTAATTAAGATACCTAATTATGTAAAAATATTACATAAATATATGTGTATATACGTATGTGTATGTATATATCTATATAATTTTTTAAAAATATTTTTATTTAGATATAGATATATATATATAAATTTCACAATACAGTTAGAACGAAATAACACACATCTATATATTTTTTTATTTTTTAAAATTTTATTTTTTAACGTATTTACATTTATATTTTTTTTATATTATATATAACAATAATTATATATATATTTAATCAGTATCAGTCTACGTGTAATTATATATTAATTTATATATATAGTAAAATACACCTAGACGGTGTGTGTGTGTGTGTGTGTGTGTGTGTGTGTGTGTGTGTGTGTATATATGTATATATATATATATATATATATGTGTATGTGATCTAAGCATATATTATTTTTTTTTACACTATTTATTTTAATTTTATTTTCAGCCAGCAGGGGGACCACTAATTACAGGCAGCCCCCCTGCTGGCAATGCAGGAGGCAGCTATCCCGGCCATGTGATTGTGGGGTCCTCGCAAGGACCCCCCTCTCACATGGCCGGGGGGGCTTCGAGTAGGACGGTCGTGCCGCGGGGGGCTCCCTGGGAGTCCCCCACACCGCGATCGCCGGCGTGGGATTGCCGGCGACCGGGTAAGTACCGAAAGACCGGAGGGCGTACTATTACGCGGCGGCGTTTAGAGACGCTTAGAAGAGGGCGTAATAGTACGCCCTCCGGTCTGAAGGGGTTAATGCTTTCCTATGGACGTCCAGCGTCTTGCGGAAGCGCCTCTAGCAGCTGTCAGTGAGACAGCCACTAGAGGCTGGATTAACCCTCAGTGAAACATATGTTTTCAGCTGCAGGGTTAAAACTAGGGGGACCTGGCACCCAGACCACTTCATTGAACTGAAGTGGTCTGGGTGCCTATAGTGGTCCTCTAAGTCTCCTTGTTCCATGCCAATTTGGATCATTGCAAACTTTTAAGAGGGCAGTCAAAGTTGAGTGATTTGGACGAAAGCCTGATTCATCAGGGGTCAAATAATTTGATTGTTGATAATACAGTTGCGTGTGGACGCATTTTTCCAAGATTTTTGACAATATAGGGAGCAATGATATCAGGAGATAGTTAGATACCAAAGTATTGTCGCCACTTTTATGGATAGGTACAACTTTTGCAGTCTTCCAAAGTTTGGGTATGTATCCTGACACCAGGGATTCATTGATAAGGGTAGTGACAGGTCTAGCAATTGCTGGCGCACTGAGCTTCAGGACCATTGCTGGGATTTAATCTGGTCCACACTGTTTTTTCATTTTTAAATTATTAAGATGTTTATTAACAACACTAACAGGCACAGGTCTAAAATTGAATTTCTCTATGTGAGGAAATTGAAGATTCGGCAAGGCCTGATCTTTATTTGCGGTCTGAAAATGAGTGTCATTTGTTATCTTCGCAACCAGGTTGGTAGCACATCCAACACAATAATTATTAAAAACATTTGCTCCATCTAGGGGGTGTTGCAGTGTTTGGTTGTCCATTTTGACAGTGGAGGTTTGGGAGTGGATTGTGGGGGTTTGTATGCTAGTTATGATTTTCCAGAAGTTTCTAGGGTTTGATAGGTTGTTGTTCGAATTTTCCCTGAAATATTGGGCCTTTGCCATTTTTGTTTGTTTTGTGCATGCATTTCGCCAATGTCTGTAAATACAGTGATCGTTCATGGAGCCAGTACGCTTGAACTTTGACCACAGTGAATCTCTAAACTGGTACATTTGAATGAGGGCAGGTGTGTCCATTTTGGTTGCACTTTACTCAGAGGGGCATGCAAATTCCAAACATGCAACAGCTTGGACTGAAATAATACAATTGCAGAGTCTAGATCTGGTATTATAGCCCCCTTACTGCTTATCAAATGTTCATACGCTGCTCAGTCATTGGTGGAACTAAATGATGTGAAAAACAAAACAATCTACATTAGGAGAGGGCACCCAGACAGATATCACAACCTGTTTGTAGTTTCCTACAAGTGTGTTTGCCTGTCTGCGGCCACGCTGTATAAGAAGAGCCGCTCACACCCCCTCTGACCTGTCCCAGTATTCCCCAAACAAACCAATCACAGCATGGTTGAGAAGTGTAATGCTGCTCTGCTCACAGCTATATGTATGTAACGTACTCTATAAATTGTATCTTTGTGACTGTGTTGTATTTTGTTTTCTTTCAGGTGCGGCAGCTTGGAGGGATCCCTGCACTGGGTAAGGGGTGTGTGTGTCAGTTGTTACCCTTGCTCTTTCTTTTATTCATGCAGATATTCTCTTTGTCAGAATTGATGGTTTGCATGTAGTTGTCATGTATGGCTATTGCTAGTTTATGTGAAAGTGAGATGGATCGATTAGAGGGTGAGTAAAAAGCAGGGAGATGCTGAAGTAAACTGACAAACTTTATGGTCATTTTATTGCAAACTGCTTGCTTTGGTTCAGTTTCTATATATGTGTAAAAGTTTTTGCTTGTTAGTTTAAAAAATAATAAAAATGTCAAGTGATGCATGTCCTTTTAAGCAGCAATGTCAAGTAAACTACTGACACACTCATTCTCTGACATGGGCAGTCACACTCCCTAATATGGAAACACTCTCATTCACTCACAAATTATTTATTTGATTTAAATGTATCCACCCAGCTACCTTACTATTCCCTGGGATCCAGTGGGGCTGCTATGATCATTTTCCTGTCACCTAGTGCACTGTTTAATGAGCTGGGACATTATGTTCTGTCTCCCAACATCACTGGAGGGCACGCGATGGAACAGAGCAGGAAGATCACAGCTCCCTCACCGCCTCCACAATCAGCTGCATGCCTCCCTCAGCTCTTCTTGCTCCATGAGCCGCCTGCCAGTTCACCCACCCGCCTCCAATCTCTGAGCCGCCTGTCTGTTTCCCACCACCAGACTAATAGTGTATGTGCAGCCACCGCTCTCTGTCCAATTACTGAGAAGCTTTGCTGAGTAATAGTGTATGTGCAGCCACCGCTCTCTGTCCAATTACTGAGAAGCTTTGCAGACTAATAGTGTATGTGCAGCCACTGCTCTCTGTCCAATTACTGAGAAGCTTTGCAGAGTAATAGTATATGTGTAGCCACCGCTCTCTGTCCAATTACTGAGAAGCTTTGCAGAGTAATAGTGTATGGAGAAGCTTTGCTGAGTAATAGTATATGTGCAGCCACCGCTCTGTCCAACTACCAAGAACCTTTTGCAGAGTAACAGTATATGTGCAGCCACTGCTCTCTGTCCAATTACCGAGAAGCTTTTGCTTGGAGGCATTGTGGGCTAATAGCACATGCATGACAAATGCTTTCTATGCAATCGTGTGCTCAGTAAAAGCTATAGTATGTAGGCTACTAGATTCTAGTGTTCATGCACAGCTCAGTGGGGTCCAGTGTTTAGTAATTGTTGTTTTATTACAGTGGCAATCCTTCAGTCAGTGTGTGTGGATTCTGTATGGAATAGAGTCTCTCGTGCACTTGGGAATCTTGCTCTGGACCCAAGAAACTGTGTAATCATACACCAATCAGGTAAGCGAGGATGGAGGACATGCATGGTTATGGTGGGCAACATCAATGTCATAAATTACAAAAGCTGGAATGCTTAATGTGTGGCAGAGCTTATCTGCTTGGGGCTGGGATGGAATAGTTAGTATAAGCATTAATAATCTGTCTCCATACTGTCTAATTCCTTACCCAACCCATCTTCATTTTCGTATCCCTATCTGACATGGTATGAAACCCTGTCCAACGTGACTCATCCCTACTCTCTCTTCATTGTCTTCCTTGAATGTCTGATTTACATTATTTTTTCCAGGTGCTGTATCTTCATTAATACACATATTACAGAGTTCTCAAGATGCCGGGTGTCTCCACAGCTGCCTGCGTTCCCTCCGCATTCTTGGAGACTCCCTACCCCACCGGCTGTCCATCAGTAAACAGGGCGGATTGTCCCCCTGTGCCTCCTTGCTCTCCTCTACAGACCCTGCCTTGGTGTGTGGTGCTGTGCGTGCCTTGTGTGAGCTAAGTCAGGGATGTTCACTGGATTGTGCAGAGCAGCTGAACCTGGCTGTGCCAAATCTTGTGCTATTAGCTGGCAGAGAAGATGTAAAAGCAGCAGTACGTCAGGCTGCGCTCGGTACGTTGTGCAATCTATGCAGTCAAGGAGCTCTGCGACCCATGATGGGTAATGCTGGTCTAATTAAGCTGCTGATATTGGAAGCCGGTGCTCAGCTTTCAGCTCCCACTCGCTGTCTGCACCTTGTGAAAGCATTGTGTCTGTGTTGCCGCGAGGCAGTGAATCGTATCCGTGTGCGGGAGTTGGGGGGATTAGAATTAATGCTGAACGTTTTGAGAGACTTGCAATATCGCTGCGTGCACCCTCGAATCACTGCTGCATTCCTGCACTTTTGCCATGACACAGTTGCCTTAAATTTGTTGGGTACTGGGGGTCTTCCTGGTCTGTTGGCACAGAGATTGGAGGAGCTGACACGAACTGCTGAGGTGATGGGAGACTTACGAGAAACAAGAGATACAACAAATGAAGAGGACGAGAAAGCAGCTTCTTCCTTTGATTTCCCACCAGAGAAAGTAAACAAGAGAACTAGAGACAGTACATCAGAGGACAGTTTAAGGTATGGACAGAAGACGAATGTATTACTTGTGGGAAGGGGGTCGGCATGTCTTCTCGGGGTATTTTCTCACCAGTTAGTGGATGCCTCCAATATATTGGGATTATGAGACTTGTGTGAATATCCATCTTTCAGTCTGATGCACTGTGTGTATGTTGATAAGGTACGATAACCAGCTTAGTAAGGGCCCAAACAGATAAAAAATAAAATAAGAGTGGTTTGGGATGGCACAGCGATATGACCTAGAGACCTACACATTGAATGTTGGGTGGTGTAGTACTAGGAGGGAGACTTATTCTAGCTGTCTGTCTCTTTGCCAGGTCCTGGCTGCTGTCAGAGGGCATTGTCTGCAATCTGGAAGATCTGTCACCTGAATGGCCATTAGACTGTGAGAGCAGAGGACCCCTCGTACCAGATGAATTGACTAACTCAGCAACCTCCATCATCCCCTCTCATCTCCCTAGTTCTCCTACTGCATCCAGTACAAAGTTCAGGGAGCATAATGTTGTACCAATTAATAGACTTTCAGGAGCTGAACAGAGATCAGTACTATCCCCTTCATCTTCCCATCTCTTCCCATCTACTTCATCACCCCAGCCATCCCATTCCCCAGTTCAAGAAATTCTGGGTGCCCCATGGCCGCTAGGACCCCGCGTGCCAATGCCGTCTGAATTTTGTCGTCCTGAATTTCCCACTTTGCTGCTTCTTTCTCGCTTTTCTCAGCTCTCCGATTCCAGCTCCTTATTGGTGTGCCCCCAGGTCTTGGAAGGGCTCCTGACTTATTTAACATGCCACCCTCATCCTTTGCCACGTGCAGCTCGGCTCCTGCAGCGTCTTACTTGTGATCCTTCGTGTCTTGAGGCATTTATCCGCACTGGCAGTATTTGCACGCTCAGGACTCGCTTACTACTCTGCGAATCCACAAAGAGAGACAGCACAGACTGTAACAGACACTGTGAAAGCACCAAAGAACTTGGTAATTTACATTTAATTATTATTTTTTTAATATATATATATATATATATATATATATATATATATATATATATATATATATATATATATATATATATATATATATTTCATGATTTTCCCTTCAGTTGTTTTGCTTTTTTTTTTTCTTTTTTTAAAAGAAAGACTTCAAGCACCATAACCCTTCTTACATGGTTTGACTATGTACACCGGGTGGGCGCCAAGGCCCTCCTGGGACCATAACTACTACCGTGCGCTGTAAAGCTTATGGAGTCGGGGCACTTTTACTTCTTAGAGTATTCGTTTAAAGGGACACTATAGTCACCAAAACAGCTGTAGCCCAATAAAGCAGTTTTGGTGTATAGATCATACCCCTGCTGTCTCACTGCTCAGTTCTCTGCCTGGTAGGAGTCAATCTCTTTGTTTATGCAGCCTTTGCCACACCTCACTGCATGTGACTTACACAACCTTCCTAAACACTTCCTGTAAAGTCATTATAATGTTTACATTCCCTTTTATTGCAAATTCTGTTTTAATTTAGAATTTCTTGTCTCCTGCTCTCCTAATAATTTGCAAGACCTTGCAGGAGCTTACGGTGTGTAATTAAAGTTCAATTTAAAGAGCAAGAGATACAAACTTCTTAAGTAAGTTAAAATGTAAAAAAAAAAATTTTATGCTGTCTGTCGGTTACAGCCACGGGAAGTGTGACAAGAGCTGCATAAACAGAAACAAAAGTGATTTAACTCCTGAATAGCAGATAATTGAGCAGTGAGACAGCAGGGGCATGATCTAAACACCAAAACTGCTTCATTAAGCTGTTATTTTTGTGACTATATTGTTCTTTTAAGCCTCATTCTGTCTGGGTTATATCTTTTCTATCACCCTCTTTGAACTTCTGCTGAGCTGCTATTTCCAAAGATACCAGTGACTAGGCCACATGTATAATATCAAAGTGCTAAGCACAGAGCAGCTGTTTCTGCTAATTGCTCATTCTATGTCCCTAACTTTCAGCACTCTCTGCTCTCTGCAGGTAACCTGCTTCTCCGAAATCTTTGTATTCAGGCAGAGTCACCATTTGGGGTGGGAACCGTGACTCACCTGTTGGTGTCCGGATCAGAAGCTGACAGGAAGCAGTGTGCCCTCTCCCTGCCATTTATTTACAGGTAAATAGAAATGTTTCTTGCCCACTAGCCCAAATCCCTATGCATGTTTTTTTTTATTATCACTCCAATGGCCTACCTGCCACGTTAAAACAAAACCTCTTAGGCGGGTCTAACAATTTACCTTGCTTTCTTCAGCTAAACTATTTCTAGCTATCTCATTAGAGATTTTACAGTTTAGCTGAAAGCAGCAAGGTGAATAGTTAGTGTAGGACCTGTCTCGGAGGTTTCGCCTTGACGTGGCAGGTGGGCTTGCAAGTAATGGACATTGGGGTGATACTTAAAAACCTCCAGTTCTTTAAATGTGCATATGAATTGGGAAAGCGCAAAATTAGCTTTTCTTTGTTTTTTTTTTTTGTTATGTATTTTGGGGCTGATGTGTACTATAGTCATTACTGCCGCCCTGGAATATTGAGCGTCTGAGTGCAGGGATACATTTTTTTGATTGTAAATACAAAGGTTTATTTTACCATCTGCCCTGCCTCTCATTCATCATCCATGGCAGATGTACCCCCACTTGCTTTCCACGCATGTTGCCTCCCCTATTCAGACATAGCCACACCTCCAATGAATGTGTCTCTCACAGCCTCCATGAAAAAATGGTTTCGTTTTTAATCAGCTCTTACAGCGCAGTGTGTTTTCTATAGCAATTATTATTTCCTGCTATAGAACCATAGAATAGGACTGCAGATAAGAACCGTCTGCCCCAATTTCTAAATACTCTCTTTAGGTCCCTGGCCTTATCTTATAGCTTGGAAAGCCTGATTGAACTTAAATCACACACAGGAGGCAGGCTACTGTGAAATATTAACAGAGCAGGGGATAATGCCTTTTAAATTAAACACACAGAAGCTATTTTTTGGGAAATGTGTGAGTCTCAACCAGAGTAGGTCTAGATTGGGCTGCATTACAAAAAGTGATGTGATGAAAGTAAAATGTGCTGTGGTGCTTCGAGTGTGCCTTTACTATGAGTTTTTGTGTTCTAATATAGTGTGTGTGTGTGTGTGTGTGTGTGTAATTTATCCTCATGGTGTTTTTTTTTTTTTTTTTTTATTATATCTCTTGACTTACATTACTTTTCTCACCCACATGTCTGACAGCCATCTTCATGCACTTTTGGTCAGACTGTCCGTTATCTGAGCCAGTGCGCAATGTCAGCTGACAGAAAATGCTGCGGGCAGATTGAGCACATTTTGAAAATCAGTTGCAAAATGTTGAGCGTTCAGTCAGTCAACTGACAATCTGTCCAAAATATTGCTTTTAGAAAGATAGAAAAGGTAGGCAGGGATTTAGAAAATTAAAAAAAAAAAAAAATGAGGGTGGTATATAATAACATATAGTACCCTTATTGTAGGTGGGCTTGCCATACAGGCTGTATATTGTACCCTTATTGTGGGTGGGCTTGCCATCCAGGCTGCATTTTGTACCCTTTAAACCAGTGGTAGTCAACCTTTTTCTACCTACTGCCCACTAATGCATCTTTCTTGATGGAAAAATTTCCTTACCGCCCACCAGTTTTTCGCGCAAGTGCAGATTTTTTTTAGAAAGGAGGGTGTTCTTTTTATTTCTACTTTATGCATGTTTATAATGATTTTAACTTTTGAAGTTTAATGAGAAAACAAAGTAAATTGAAATTACCTTTACTAGTGATTAATGAGATCCTTGAGGTTGATGCTGCAAGACTAAATATTTGATATCTGGTTCGATTTTTCGTAGGGAACAAACAAAGGTCTCCTCTTTCGGTGATATTCAGCCGATTTCTCTGTTTGCTCATAATATGATTTCTCATCTGTGCGTCAGCTCCCCTCCTCTCCCACCTCAATTCACCTCCCCACCTTTTTTTTTCCCCACCTTTTTTCTATTTTTTTAACCTCCCTTATAGCAATGCCCAGTAGGAAGGCTGAGCTAGGTAGTCCCCTTACTATTATTAGCCAACAACTTTTCCTTCTTTCTCTTTTTTTACAAGTACTCTGCTCCTTCTTTCTCCTATTCTACAAGAACTCTGCTCACAGACAAACCCACACTCACACAAACACACACTCACACAGACAAAGACACACAAATTATTATTAAATTTCCACCCAAGCTCCCTACCTGGAGAGCTGGTGTGGATCTGTCCCTGGGGTCCAGTGGGGCTTCACTTTGGCATGTGGCAGAGTTCTAATCCTAGGCGGCGAGGGAGCTCTAACCTCTCTGCTCCCTCACGGGCTGTCTACTGATGCCAGGAGCTGGAATATGACATCATATTCCGTCTCCCGCGGCATCAGCAAACATCGCGTGAGGGAGCAGAGAGGTTAGAGCTCCCTCGCTGCCTCGGATTAGAACTCTGCCGCGCTGGGGGGTCCAGAAGGTGGCCTGGCAGGAGGGAGCGCTTCCCTCCTGCCGGTCACTGAAATCTTGCGCACCCCCAAGCCGCTTGCGCCCGCCCGCCCACTATGAAAAGGAGAAATCCTCTCAAAAATAGGATTTAGCCTCCGAAATCCCTACCGCCCACTTGGAATCCTGAAACGCCCACTAGTGGGCGATATGAACCAGGTTGCTGACCCATGCTTTAAACGATTGACTGGAAGCCTTCATCAGGCTCTGTGTTGTACACACTAATTGAGAAGTATTGTCACTGCTTTTATCGCCAAGTGTCCCGGCACTAAACACTCATTCTGTTTCTTCCCACTTTAGGAAGAACTCTTCACAACGCAACCTTCTACTTGATGGAGCTCTCCACCTTGTGTTGGAACCTTTGATTTGTATGGATCCGGTATATTTTTTTAATGTTTCGGAATGTCTTTCTTCCCTTTTAGACCCCCAAAAAGTACCTGCAACTTGCAAACCACTTGTATTGGTTCCTTCCCGTTGCTGCTACAGAGATCTCATGTCCAGTGGAGCTGCTGATGTGATATTTGTGCTAGATGGGGGTGAGCGTGTAGAAGGGAACCGGAAAGAGGTGACTGGGGGATGTGAGGTATTTAAGGCCATGTTAGAAGGCTGCTATGCAGAATCTAGGCAGAGAGAGATACTTGTCCAGAAGATGCCTCCTTGCGCCTTCACTCCACTTCTCCACTATCTTCACGGTTGTACAATAGAGTCTAGGTGTCCTACACTGTATGAGCTTCCACTGCCCACCCCTGACCAGGAACTTTCTCACTCTCCACTCGGATTGACTTTAGCTGCTGCAGGACAATTCCTACTTCCTGGTCTCCAGAGAGAGCTGGAGGTTTCTGTAATGGACAGGTTGCTCAGTTTAGAGAATTTGCCCTCTGTGTACAGCTTTGCAGAGATGCATGGAACCTCGGAACTCAGAAGGGACTGCTGTCTATTTCTACTAAAAATGCATCACCCGCCCCAAAAGCGGGCATTTTCTCTCTTCCAACTATACCAAAGAGCGCATGACAAGCAAAGACTTTCTCTTATTATTGAAAATATTGTGCAAGAGAAAGATTGAGTTATTTACAAATATCCAAGTGACCGCAAATCTGCTTCTCCCAAACTGGTGTATGGTAATCCTTCTCCTCTAGGCCTACTCACCAACCTATTTCACTGTACAAAATCTTACCCACCACCTAGTCCTCTGCTTCCTCGCCCACTGGCACGTACCCAACACCTAATCCTCTGCTTCCTCGCCCACTGGCACGTACCCACCACCTTATCCTCTGCTTCCTCGCCAACTGCCACGTACCTTATCCTGACCTTATTCTCTGCTTCCTCGCTCACTGGCACGTACCCACCACCTTATCCTCTGCTTCTTTGCGCACCGCTACGTACCCACCACCTTATTCTTTACTTCCTCGCCCACTGGCACATATATATCTATTTGTGTGTTTGCCGGGTGTATTTATGTCTGTGTCTGAGAGTGTGTGACTTGAGCACGTAGCCAAGTGGTTTTGCAAGGAGCCCTTCTTTTCTGATGGTAGACTTGACTGTTCTAATTCCTAACCAGTATTTACTACCTGATACTTTGCTTCCACAGTCGCCCGAATGTTTCCTGATACTTTCTCATCCATTCTCCTGCCTGGCACCAATACCCATTACCTGATCCTGTGCTTCCTCACCCACCTGCCTGGTAGGAATACCAGCTATCTGATCCTGTGCTTTCTCACCCGCCTGCTACAGCTACCAACTACCTGAATCTGTGCTTACTCACCCTCCTGGTTCCTATACCTGCTATCTGATCCTGTGCTTCTTCATCCGACCACGGGGTACTGATACCACCGATCTGGTCCTGTGCTTCCTCACCAACCCGGTACAGATACCAACTACCTGACCCTGTGCTTCCTCACCCGACTGGTCCCGATACCAGCTACCTCGCACATGCATCTCCCCAAACACAGCTGTAGCACTCTCTCTTAATTCTCTATCGTTTCTATCCTAAGAAGTCCTTGTTTCAATGTAACCCATATTGGGCATAAATTACGTTTTCTGTTTAAATATGCATTGTAACTCTGTCTATGTCAGGGATGTTAACTGAAACCTAAAATTTGAAATGATTAAAAACAGAACATGTTAAAAATGAGGATTTAAAAAAAAATAAAAAATGTAGAAGATATTCATGGCTAGCAATGATCAGGGAGAAGTGAATATAGTCACTTAGATCCACTTGCTGCCCAGTAACCGTTTTAGACTAAATTCTACATATCAGTTATCAGTTGCTTAGCTGAAAATTGCACTATTGAATTAAACACCGAAAGCACCTGCAGCATGTGTTACCCTTTTCTTTCCACAAGATAACTGTTTTTTGTTTTGTTTTTTGATTTTTATTTTACATAAAAAAAAAATCTAGCAAATGGAATTATAACCCAGCTTTGAAGAGAAGAAACAAAAACACAGTTTAATTGACCATCTCCTATTCTCTGTAAGGTTCCAGCATGCTGACTGCCAAGTGCGAAGGATGAAAGAAAATCTATTCATACTTCCTACTGTGTATTGGGCCCTTACAGCCTATCAAATCTTTAAAAGTAGGTCCAGGCCACATGATCACCAGTCAGTAACAAGCTCCAAACCCGATAGTCCAAGTGGCATATTAAAATCATGGCTTCTGTCGATAATAGCCTTGAAAATAAAATTATGGTAACGATGAATACATTTAGTTTTTTCCTGGCTTAGCATGGTAACATACTAATGGGAATACCCAAGCTTTAAAGGGAGGGGATAAATATGCAAAACAACAAATACATGAGCCAAACAATTTATTAAATAAATGCAAACTGATGCACCGCTTGTAGGACTTGATACCAATATTGTGCATCATCAGTGACTCGTACATCCAAATTGTAGTAACTTACAATGTTGTTAAATGAACAAACCAAAACAGATTTCAAGAGAATACTGAGAAGGTACAACTCAAATAACTTGCCCTTCAGTAGGTCCCTGCTGATTGGCCTTGGAGATGGATCCAGGCTCAGCAAGATCAATGCGGGGTGGGAGAAAAGGGTGAGCAAAATCACCTTTTCAACGTGATCAGAGTCTGGTCGGTCAGCCGGCCCAAAATGCCACATCACGATTATAGTGGCAGGAAAACATGTTTCTTTAAACTGGTATTGGCTCACCTTGTGCAATTACAGAGTGTGGCGACCTTGCCACTGGGTTTTGGAGAGGCCTGCTTGCCAGCCTCTTGCCCTGTGACTATGCCCCCTGGGGTGTATTGCAATTTAAAAAGTCTATTTGGGCTTATTGGATTTTGAAACACTTTTTCTGCCCCTTTGATTCCATGGGAGAATGTGCCTCTTCCCCTCCTCTTTTTCCTGTCCCATTGTTCTCCAGCAGGGTGTTGTCCCAGGGACACTGCCAGACCAGTTGAAACTGGATGCTTTGTCCATCCTCAATCTCTCATCAGCCCTTGCTATTGTTTAACCCCAGGGCGATCCAACTGTATTTGTGAGATCTGAACGCTTTTCGGACATATTGAGCGCTCAGATCCAAGCTATCTGGGGATATGTTGGACATATAGATTAAACATTGTATTATATGAGTTATGTATTTTTATGTAGGTTTTTGTAACAGTTTTTGGACTTAGAGATATTTTCTGTACCTGGAGATAATTGGCTTACCACACCCACTTAAGCCTATTATCTCCAGAATAGAGGAGAAGATAGACCGGCTGCACAGCCTAAATCTGTGGAACTGTTTTGGGCATGAAAGCCATGCTTGCAGTCAGTCAAATGTAAATTCCATAAAACGTTTGAAGCCCTGCTCTGATCTGGGTGATTTTTGGATATGTTGTTCACCCAGATCAAGGCTATTCAGGGATGTATATTTATGGGGGTATGTTGTTTTGGGGGGGTTTCTGTGTTTTGGGTAAAACTGTATATTTTCTGCCTGTGATAATTAAGGTAGCCCATTGTGTTCAGTAATTATATCGCAGGCAGAGGGGAGGGTTTGTGTGCCTTAGCTGGGAGTGTCTGACTGTACTGTGTTGATTGGCTGTTGTAACTTTGTGTCCTGTGTACCACAAGGTCCACGTGGGTGGTAACCTTGTGGGAAAATGTGTATATAAGAAACAATAAAGCCTCAGTTCCTGCTTACACTCCAAAACTGTGTGTCGTCCTGTTATTGGAGGGAAAGAAGATTTGTTCCTGTGTCTGCTGCTCCAGCTTGCAGGAGATTCACCAGGGAAAGTCCTTGTAAGGACTAGCGCTAATTCCCCATTCGGCTCCAGGGAGGAGCGGTTCCATGGCCCCAGTCCAGCCACGGCGACTGTGGGCAGAAGTGCTGCGGTTTGTCCCCAGTTCCAGCTAGGAAGCGGTCCTTTGGCATAGGTACCCAGCCGGGGTACAGGGAGCTCCACTACACAGAGAAACTTCAACCAAGTATGAGTACTTAAGTAACGAAGTGTGGAAATAAGTGAACCTCTGTTTTTAATCTTTTAAGATTCTTTTCTTTCAGGAAGTGTTCTGGAGAATTGGAGGAAGGCAGATGTGGTTCCTCTACTCAAAAAGGGTTGGCTGGAAATTATATACCTATGAGCTTAACTTCTGTGGCTGGGAAGGTATTTGAAAAGTTATCAAGGGATAATATTCAAGAATTCCTTGAGAAGAATGTGGTTACAACCGAACAGATTTGCCCCATCTGGTTTGTATAACGAATAATATAATGTACCATAGGACCACCCAAAACAGTCGTGTGCGGCCAATTGACCTTACTGACACTTCGCTAACCGCAACTCTGAACGTTCTAAGTGGTTAACTGGGTGGCCGTCGATTCATATGCACAAACAGGTGGCGGTGGCCAATTTGTTTTGTCAAACCAGCGGTGTTTGGTTATCGAATGTATGGAACTATTTTCGGACACTCAGCCTGAACACTGCTGAGAGTTCCAAGATCACTTAGGTTCGTCCCAAACCATCCGAAAGAGGCGGCGTTCAGTGAAACCCAACTCCTAAACAAGGGGCATGCGACTAGCTTTCCCACGAACCGTTCTTGGAGACTTTTCGTTATATTGGAAACCCACGAAAGAGACTGGTTGCACAGCCCAAGTCTATGGAATTATTCTGTGCAAGAACCGCGTGTGTGTGTGGTCGGTCAGAAAGAAGACTTCCACAGAACTTTCAAACCTCTGAACCGATCTCTGTGCTTTTTTTATATGTTCCTCTCCCAGATCAGGGCTTTCAGGGAATATAACATTTGTGGGGATATCCTGTATTTTGGGGTTTTGTAAAAAGTGCTTTTTCTGCATAGAGATAATTGGGTTAATACAGTATCTTACTCAATTATCTCCCATGCAGAGGGGAGGGATTGTATGCCATGTGTGGGAGTGCCTTACATTGTAACTCCGTTAATATTGGTTTCTAAATTTGTGTCACAGTCCCCAACAAGGTCCATATGGGCGTATCCCTTGCATGGAGAATTGCATAAAAGACCAGTGTGGCTACTATTAAACCAGCCCAGTTTTATCCTCAACATAGAGCCTCTCTTTGTGTTTGTAGGGACTTGCTATAAGAGCTTCACAGCTATACCTACTTCTTCACTGCTTGGATTGATGGTTGGGAATACCTCCGCGCTCTCTACTCTAGGAGGAAAAGGACATCACTTATCTCTGCAAAGGTAACTGGCAGATTCCCCTGGCCGAGGAGGCTATCCCCAAGTTGGCCTGTACCAATTTAAGGTCATGCTATTCGGGATGAAAAAAACGCCCCAGCTACCTTTCAACACTTGGTGGATAGACTCCTCGGTGGCTTCCAGGATTTCGCCTGTGTGTACCTGGATGACACTGCGATCTACAGTGAGTCCTGGGAGGAACACTTAAGGCATGTAGGGGCAGTGCTGGATCAGATTCAGGCAGCCAGCCTGACTCTGAAGCCAGACAAATGTCATCTTGGGATGGCCGAAGTCCGGTACCTGGAACACCGGGTGGGGTGTGGGAAAAAGCGACCTGAAACTGCTAAGATTGAGACCGTCGTTAAGTGGCCCACACCCCGCACCAGGAACAGTGCTGCCCCATCCCTTGACAAACACTTTGTTGTCCACACAGACGCTTCTATTTTCTGGCTGGGGGCCATTCTAAGCCAAGTGGGAGAAGATGAAGCAGAACATCCTGTCGCGTACTTCAATAGGAAGCTGTTACCCCGAGAGGTGAGCTATGTGACAGTGGAGAAAGGAATGTTTAGCCCTGGTGTGGGACTTGAAGAAACTGACCCCTTATCTGTATGGCCGAGAGTTTACCTTAATGACTGACCACAACCCATTGGTGTGGCTTAACCTGGTCTCAGGCGACAATGGCAGACTATTACGGTGGAGTTTGACACTCCAACCCTACAACTTCACCATCCAGTACCGGCCCGGGAAGCAGAATGGCAACGCCAACAGGTTGTTCTGACAAACAGAACGGAGTTTGTAACAGAGATCTGTACATCCCCAAGTTGACCTGAAAACGGTCAAGCCGGGTCTGCCGGAGTGTTCCACATGGGAGCAGTGTAACAGATACCCTGTTTCTAAATATTACTTTTTATTTTGCCTGGGTCGGTATACAAACCAAAGCCGAACAGATTTGCCCCATCAGGGTCGTATACCAAACCATTGGACCACCCAAAGTAGTAGTGTGCCGCCAATTGACCTTACTGGTACTTCGCTAACCGCAACTCTGAATGCTCTAAGTGGTTCACTGGGTGACCATTGATTCGTATACACAAACACGTGGTGGCGCCCATCTTGTTTTGTCGAACACGTCCAACGGTGTTTGGTCGGCGAGTGTATGGAACTGTTTACGGACACTCAACGGCCCGAACACCGCTGAGACTTCCAAGATCATCCCAAACCATCCGAAAGAGGCGGTGTTTGGTGAAACCCAACTCCCAAACAAGTGGCACACAACTAGCTTTCCCATGAACCGTTCTTGGAGACTTTTTCGTTGTATTGGAAACCCACAAAAGAGACCGGCTGCACAGCCCAATTCTATGGAACTATTCTGGACAGGAAGTGTGTGTGTGTGTGTGTGTGTGTATGTATGTATGTATGTGTTCGTTCAGAAATCAGATTTTCATTGAACTTTTGAACCCCTGAACTGATCTGGGTGATTTTTTTATATATATATGTATGTATGTATGTATGTATATATATGTGTGTATATATATATATGTATGTATGTATGTGTGTGTGTATATATATGTATGTTGCTCTCCTAGATCAGGGAATGTCACATTTGTGGGGATATCCTGTATTTTGGGGTTTTGTAAAATGTGTTTTTTCTGCCTGAAGATAACTGGGTTAATACAGTATCTTACACAATTATCTTCCATGCAGCGGGGAGGGATGGGATTGCATACCATGTGTGCCTTACATTGTAACTGTCATTATTGTTTCTAAGTTTGTGTCACAGTCCCCTACAAGGTCTATGTGGGCATACCCCTTGCATGGAGACTTGCATAAAATGCCAGTGTGGCTACCATTAAACCAGACCAGTTTTACCCTCAACATAGAGCCTCTCCTCGTGTTTGTAGGGACTTGCTATACATGCTATAACCACTAGCTCTTATAAGCTATACCTACTTCTTCACTGCTTGGATTGATGGTTGAGAATACCTCAGCGCTCTCTACTCTAGGGGGAAAAGGACCTCTCTGGCGGCGGAAACCCTTCTACTAGCAGGGTGGCCGTTACACCTTCTATTTAACATGTTTATAAATGACCTCGGAAACAAAAGCATTGCAAGCCATGTTTCAGTGTTTGCAGATGACACAAAACTCTGTAAAGTAATACAATGTGAACAAGCTATTACTTTGCTGCAGAGGGATTTAGATAAACAGGGGGACTGGGCACTCAAATGGCAGATGAAATTTAATGTTGAAAAGTTATGCACTTCAGCGTAAAGAATGCACAAGCAATTTATACCCTTAATGGAAGCGAATTAGGCATAACAACACACGAAAAGGACTTGGGAATTGGTATAGACTACAAACTATGCAACAGTGTGCAATGTCAATCAGCAGTGGCTAAGGCCAGCATGAAAAAGGGCATTAATCCTCTGAATGAGCATATCATTTTATCTCTTTATAAATCACTGGTTAGACCACATCTTGAATATGCTGTGCAATTTTGGGCACCTGTTCTAAAGAAGGATAATGGCACTAGAAAGAGTGCCGAGACTGGCTTCAAAAGTAATAAAAGGAAAGGAACATTTTAACTATGAAGAAAGGTGAGCAAATTTAAACCTCTTTAGTTTAGAAAAATATTGCCTCGGAGGGGATTTGATAACATTATACAAATATATCCAGGGCCAATACAAACCATTGTCTGGAAATCTATTCCTTTTTTTTTTTTAATCAGATTTTTCGCCATAAATACATTGTACAAAAAAGTATTAAAAAACATTCATCCACATAAAAACAGACACAAAGAGGACAAAAACAAAAAGACTATCCACCACCCCACGAGAGTTCTACTGACTTCCAACTTATCTATCTTTTTCAATGATATTACTTTTACAATTGTAATAATTTTTTCTCCCAATTTTCCCATAGGCTCAAATCATCATTCAGAAGCTTGCAATGATCCTTCTCCATTTTAAGTTGGTAAACCAACTGAATTGTTATTAATTTGATGTTAAAAGGGGTATCTCCCTTCCAATTTCTTGCTATTATTATTTTACAAGCCATTAGACAATGGATAATTAAAAATTGATTTATTTTATTCAATTTTGGCCATTTATAATGTAATAACATTATTTCAGGTTTTAGAGACATTTTGACATCGCACAGTGTATGAATGATAAATTGAGCCCACTGCCATACAACAATCACTTGCTTACATGACCACCACATATGGATATAGTTTCCTTTTTCCTCTCTACATTTCCAACACTTAGTGTCCCTAGATACATCAAATTTTTAGCTATTTTTGTTGGCGTCATATACCATTGATTAGCCAACTTAAAATGTGTTTCTATCAATACAAAGGAGTGGACATATTTATTGATTTTTTTTGTGCCATAGATAGCCATTCAGATAATTCTATATTTGTTTTTAATTCAGTATTCCATTTTTTAATAACACTAGGCGGGGCGGAATCATCCATTAGATCCAACATTCTAACACATCTAGAGAACAGTTGCTTTGTCTTATTCTGGTATAAGATTGTTTTTAAAATATCGTACAGCTTACCCTCTTTTACTAACTCAACTTTCTCCAAATAATGTTTTACTCTAAAATAAGTATATATATCTTTATCCGAGATCCTAAACTCCTCAACCAACATTTTATAAGGTTTGATTTTATTTTCTTTGATCAGATCTTTTAAAATATTTATTCCTTTTTCTTTCCATAGTTTTAAGGAGATACTCTCCATGTTTAATTCTATTATTTCTAAGTTTTGAAAGTCAAATATCTTATTTACCAGATCATTTTTTTTTTTCCTTATGTTTTGCCATATTGGAGTGATCTGTCCTAAGATGTACGATCTGGATAAATTGCATTTTTTTGTACTCCCGAATAATTCTAAGGTGTCTCTTAATTGACTAGAATCTAGTTCTGACCACCACCATACTTCCTCTTTATTTTGTTTTATGTGACTAGCCATAACATGCGTAATAATTCCTGCTTCATAATATTTTCTTATATTTGGATATCCTAGACCTCCCTTCTTTATTCCTCTTGCTAGTACTCCATTTTTAACTCTAGGTTTTTTCCCTCACCATACAAAATCAGAAAAGGCCTTATTGATCATTGTCAGCCATGCATTCGGGATTTCTAATGGAAGCATTCTAAACATATAGATCCATTTTGGTAAAACATATGATTTCAGAATATTTATTCTTCCTCCCCAAGATACTTCTAATTTTCTCCATTCTTTCAAATTCTTATTAGTTTCTTTCAGGAGATCCATAAAATTTGTTCGCATAATACTTTCTACCTTTCTACAGATTTTAATTCCCAGATATAAAAACATTTTAGCTTTGATAAAGCCATATGTTTCTTGATAGGAATTTATTTCTTGCTTTGACATAATAATATATATGGCAATTGATTTTGTTTTATTTAATTTATAATTTGATACTGCACTATATATATCAATTTCTGACATTGCATTTAATATTGATATTGATGAATTCAAAAAAAGAATAGTATCATCGGCATAGAGAGATATTTTTCAGTTCTTTCTGTTTTGCTATAAATCCCTTAATATTTTCATTATTTCTGATTCTGTTGGCTAGAACCTCTAGTGTTAATATAAACAATAAAGGGGACAAAGGACAACCTTGTCTGGTCCCGTTGTTCAGTTTGAACCAGCCTGAACATATACCAGGGCCAATAGTTCTCGCCTTTGGATCTTTGTATAAAGCTAAAATTGCGTTAAGCAACCAACCCTGTATACCTAGTTCCTCTAGAGTAAACTTCATAAAGTCCCAGCTGACCCTGTCAAAGGCTTTTTCAGCGTCTAAAGACAGGATCAGCATGGGACTTTTCTCCTTTTGTGAAATATCTAGTGCATCTATCAAGCGTCTCATATTATTGCTTGACATCCTATCTGGAACAAAACCTGTTTGATCAGGATGGATTAATTGTTTAATAACTTCTTTTAATCTGCTAGCTATAATAGAAGAAAATATCTTAATATCTACATTTATTAGTGATATTGGGCGATAACTCTGTATTCTAGTTGGATCTTTCCCTGGTTTCAATATAGGTAAAATATTTGCTTTAAGCATTTCCTCTGGGAATCTGCCCGTTTTAACTGCAGAATTAAACGTATTTTTTAAATGAACTATCAAGTGAGGTTTCATAGTTTTATAGAATTTATTTCCAAATCCGTCCGGACCTGGCGTTTTATAATTTTCTAATCTATCTATTATTATATTGATCTCTTCTTCCCTAATCTCTTTATTTAGATTATTTACCTGTGTTTCTGTTATTTTATTCAGTTTTGCTGATTTAATATATTTTTTTATTTCTGATGGAGTACTTACTGAAAGACTATATAAATTAGCATAGTACTCATTAAATGCTTTCCCTATCTGTTCTGGAAAAAGGGAGATGGTATCATTAGTTATTATTTTATCAACCTTATTGGTCGTATTTTTTTTTTTCAGCATATTGGACATTATTTTATCAGCTCTGTTAGATTTATGATAATATTTGACTTCAAGTTTGTACATATTTTTTTTTTTTTTTTTCGTAAGTTTTTTCCTGAATTTCAGATTTAATTTTCTCTATTTTTAACTGGATGTCCTTAGTTGGATTATCGTTATTATTTTTATTTAAGTTATATAATTCAATACAGAGATCTTGTATCTTTGCACCTTCTTTTTTTTTTCTTAAGTTTATTGAGCATTATACAGTGTCCCCTTATTACTGCTTTAAATGAACACCATAGAATATCATTCTCCACTAATCCATTATTATTTTCTTCAAAATAACAAATAGTCATTTTATCTATATAGTCTTTATGTTCCTTACTTAATAATAATGATTCATCTAACCTCCAGGTTATATTCTTATTGTTCTTTAATCTATTACTGTTTAGTTCCAGGCACACACTATCATGATCTGACCATATTACTGGTTTGATTTCTATTTTAAATGTTTTATCTATTAATTTTAAATCTCCAAATATAAGGTCTATTCGCGAGTATGAATTATGAGGCCAGGAGTAGAACGTAAATTCTTTCACTGCAGGATTATTAAGTCTCCATATATCAAATAGACCTTCTCTTTTCATCAAGTTATTAAAAATCCTTGCGTTCTTTAAAACTTGCTTGTCCCAAATAGGTTGTTTTTCTGAGAACTTATCTAGTAGGGGATCTTGTATACTATTAAAATCCCCTGCATATATCTTGAATCCTACTCCTACATTCTCAACCTTATTTAATACTTTTCTCAATAGACCTATAGGATTTTTGTTAGGCAGATAAACATTAATTAGAGTGAAGAGTTCCTCATTAATTGTGGCTATTAATATGATAAATCTTCCCTCCAAATCTATTTCCATAAATTTTATATTTATTTTTAAATCTTTTGCGAAAAATATTGCAACTCCTCCCTTTTTCCCCTCCTCTCTAGAGGAACAATTTTTTAAAGGAAAAGAACTATTGGTCCATCTCTTTTCATCCTGTTTACGCCAATGTGTCTCTTGGACCATCGCGATTTGAACATGTTCCTTTTTTAGATACTCTTGAAAGGCTAGTCTTTCTTGAGGAATATTTAAACCTTGAATATTTAACGTTATTAATTTAACCATTGTCATATATATATATATATATATATATTTTTTTTTTTTTGGGTCGTCTAGTGAACTCTCGAAAACAAAAAAATAAAACTTCACATTACCAAACATACATGAAACAACTTCTAGTATACTAGGTACTTGAAGTCTATTTCCTAACATTCCAAAGACTCTAAAAAGAGTCAAAAAACACTTTCTTTGATGGGGTTTAACGCCCACTTTTAACCTTTTCAGGTTCCGGCAGGGGAGGCTGTATCTCGTTTTGAAGGAGCCAAATCTAAATTTTTCTTTATCATTCCCTGCTTCCTCTTTCTCTTCTGCTGTATGAAGTCCTTACTTCTACCTTTCTCTCCTCTTCTTTCTTCCTTTCTTCTTCTCTTTCTCGTACCAGAGGAGGAAGAAGAAGAAGAAGAAGAAAAAAAAAAATGTCTTACTTCCTAATTACCTTTCCCTTATTTCACCTTTTTTTTCCTTTTTCCCTTTCTTTTGCTATATACATGATCGTATCTTTATTCTCTTTACATTGTTAAATATAAATTATTTAACACTCTTACCTCCTATTTCTTTATATTTTTTTTTTTAATTTTATTATTCTCTTATTCTATTCAGTATTATGTGTGTTTATTTATATTGAAAAGTTTCTTTCCCTTTCGTTTCCCTTTTTTTTTTTTTTTTTCACACCTAAATTTCAACTCTTTTTCATCTTGTGCACACTTCACATATTTTTATTTTGTGTTAACCTTTTATATTTATATTGTGGATCTTTAAATTTACTACTTTCCCCTATTATTGTTCAGTGACAAAAAAAAAATAAAAAATTCATAAACCAGATTTTACATAGGACACAAGGTCATGTGTTTAGACTGGAAGAAAGAAGATTTAGTCTTAGGCAAAGAAAAAAATGTTTGGTTTTTTTGTACCATGAGAACACTAAGGATGTGGAATTCTCTGCCTGAAGAAGTAGTTTTACCAAAATCTGTACAATTGTTTAAACAGCAACTAGATGCATACTTGCAAAAACAGAATATTCATTGATATAAGTTTTCACCTGTAGGGATTGGTTCTTGATCCAAGGATAAATCTGACTGCCATTCTGGGGTCAACCGGGATTTTTTTTTTTCCTAGTTTACAAAATTGGAAGTGCTTCAAACTGGGTATTTTGCCTTCTTTTGGATTAATAGCAAAAATCAAATGTGAGCAAGGCTGAACATACACTCAGGACACACATACACTCCAGTATACATAAATACATACACACTCCTATTTATTACCTTTTGGCTGCAGGAGGGTGGACTCTGCTGGCTGGGGCTGATGTGGGTCTGGCTCTCTCCTCTTCCTTCCCTATGCTTCCTCCCTCCTGCTCAAGTGTTAGCACTGCCAGGAACATTAAAGGGGCCCAGTTGCGCTATTAGAAATCCACAGTGCTGACTGAGCCTCTTAACATATGCCTATTGGTTGGCCCTAAGTGCATGGGCCCCCTCAGCATGCAGGCCGTGGTTTGTCAATTATTCACTCACACTCAATCATTTAAAAAAAAAAAAAAAAACAACACTTTTTTTTTCACCCAAGGCGCACAGCTGCACTCACATCAGATCATTAAAACACCCGATGCTAAATTTACACACACAACTAAATCCGATCACTAAAGCACCAGATCGTAAATTCACACACGCACAACTAAATCAGATCACTATATCATAAATTCACACACACACACACCGCTTATATCCGATCACTAAAACACCAGATCTTAAATTCACACACTCACACAACTAAATCAGATCGCCATAACACCATATCATAAGTTCATACACAAAACCAATCCGATCACTAAAGCACCAGATCGTAAATTCACACACACCCAAATCTTAAAACCAATCAATATAACACCAGATCGTATAAATTCACACACAACTCAATCAGACCACTATAACACCAAATCATAAATTCACAGACACACACACACCTACAAGGCTGCTATCAGAAATTTTGGGGCCCCTGAGACAGCTCAAGGTCTGGGCCCCCCAGTGCCTGCACCCGAGTCCGCCCAAAGTGCTGCCGCCCCCCTGAGTCCACCCACAGGAATGTAGTGTCTGTACTGATTCTGGTGTGTGTATATAGTGGATGTAGAATGTGTGTAGTGGATGCAGGGTGTGTTTTTAACTGATGCAGTGTGTACAGTGGATGCAGATTGTACATTTGTGTAATGTATGAGGTGTATATTAGAGGCCGAGTGTGTGGATGTAGTGTGTGTTTATAGTAGATGCAGAGTGTGTGTGTAGTGAATGCAGAGTGGATGTAGTGTTTAGTGAATACATTGTGTGGGTGCAGAGTGTGTCTTTGTGTAGTTGATGTAGTGTGTGTATAGTGACTACACAGTGGGTGTTTGTGTAAGTATTTAATGTATGTATAGTGACTGCAGACTGTGTGTTTGTGTAGTGGATGTAGTGTGTGTAGTGACTACAAAGTGTGTTTGTGTAGGTACTGCAAAGTGTGTAAGAACAATACAGTGAGTAAGCGCTGACTAATATGTAGGTAGCAACCCTATAAGGGGATCCCTCAAAACCCTTAGAAATAATGCTGAAAAGAAGAAACAATAAGAAATAAAGGCTGCACCAAGGAAAACTTGATATGAAAAATAACAAATAGTCCGAGAGAGTGAGAAGAATTTAAAAAGTCTAAAATGTTCTTATAGGGATCGTAGGATCTATCCGTGCTTGATCCAGAACAATAGTGCTTTATGTTTTCCTCCGTATGGATCTGCTCGTATGTAGAAGATAAAAAAGTGGAGAACCAAATAGTGCAATATGCTTCAGAATAAAAAGATAAAAATAATAAAAGGCTGAAATAGAACTCACATTTATCAGAGCGTTAGACTCGCTCTAGTATGAAGGGCGTACAGCGGTTTAATCCCCGCTTATGGGATATAAACGTGAGTGGGATATTCAACACTCGGATAAACAGAAACAGCCAATAGTGTACACTGAGTAAAATATTGATGATAAAATAAAATAAAATGGGTACAAGACAGGAGCATAGTGGTCCTTTAAGTGTATCTGCATGCACTGGCGTACATAACACAGTCGCAGGGATCGCAGCCCTGTGACCAGGTGCCCGCCACCATGTGTTGCGGCCCCAGCCCGCGCAGAGAAAGTGGGGGGGGGGCCACGGTTCAGTTTTTGCACGGGGCCCCATGGGTTGTGTGTACGCCACTGCCCACATTAGCTATGTGCACACATATATAGCGATTAACGCTATATATGTGTGCACTGCGGGTTTCACTGAGGGTTAATTCGATCCTCTAGTGGCTGTCTCATTGACAGCCACTAGAGGAGCTTCCGCGATTCTCACTGTGAAAATCACAGTGAGAAGACGCTGAACGTCCATAGGAAAGCATTGAGTAATGCTTTCCTATGGGCGGTTTGAATGCGCGCACGGCTCTTGCCACACATGCGCATTCAGAGCTGAGAGGCGGATCAGGGCGGAGAGATCCCCAGCGCCAAGGGAGACTGGCGCTGGAGAAAGGTAAGTACACACACACACACTCTCACGAATAGACGCATACACACTAGCTAACAGACACACACATTTACTGACAGACACTCACTCACAAAACACACACTAACAGACGCACACCGCCAGGTGACACCAGGGCTAGCCTCGCGGGCCCCCCAGGAGAAAAGGCTGGCCACAGTGGGTACATACCGGGTCGCAGGGCGGCCGGGCCCCCTGCGACCCCAGTATTTACGCCACTGAATGTGCGGCCCAGGACGACCTGAGCAGCCCGGGCCCCCCAGGACGGCCGGGCCCATGACAACCGTTATGGTTGTCATGCCCTGATGGCGGCCCTGCACCCCTAAATCAGATCAGTATAACAACCGATTAGAAACTCCATGCTCACACAGCTTAAATCCGATCGCTATAACACCAGGTTGTAAATTCACACGCATGCACAAAATTAACACACACCAACCACAAGACACACCCTCTCTCCCCCAAAAAAACACCCATCCAGCCATTCATGTCACATCTACACAGCCTGGAGACCTCCCACAGTGACATAGTAAGCAAAGTTCGGGGAAGATATATGAATGATCGAGATGGAAGATTACTACAAATGGAGGAAAATGACCACTGGACTACAACCCACTGTTGCTGCGCAATAAAGTTTATCTATTTCCTGTTTGTTTTGGTCTTACTGTCTTTAGTCTTGTATTTTAAGAGTACTATAAGTACCATAATCACTACAGCATGACCAGGATCCACAAGAGCAATGGTCACTTCCTCCATGTGTAGACTGTGAATCAGGTATGGAGCTTCCATTAGTCCTGTAGTGCCAAAATCTGTCAAGTAAATGGCTAGCAAATAGTTTGAGTCATGGGTCAAGTCCTGGGGAAGAAAGTGTGGGAACTCACCCAAGATCCTACCCCCCGCCCCCAAAAAAACCCAAACCACTAGTATACATATATAAATGCGTGCACACACACACACACACATACACTCAGACACTCACAGACGCACACACATACTCAGACACTTACACAGTGGTGTATTTTAATTTTGTGCTGTCATAGGTATGACTATACCTGAGCACCCCTCTAATCTAAATTTACCAGCCCTTCCTGTCAAGGGCGCACCGCTTCAGATTCCACCTTTTCCTGCTCCTTTTAAAGAAATACTATAGTGCCAGGAAAACAAAGCTGTTTTCCTGCCATAATAACTCTCTATAGTGCCCCCCTCCCTCGTGTCCTCCCCTCCACCACTCGACACTGAAGGGGTTAAAGTCCTATGGGTATTTAGCAGATGCTGGATGTCCTCATGCACAGGGTGAGGACGTCCAGCATCAGGCGACTTTTGGTCACCTAACCACCCGAAGGTCCCTCTAGTGGCTGTCTGGTAGACAGCCACTATAGGTGGAGTTACCCCTGAAGGTAATTATTGCAGTTTCTAAGAAACTGCAATAATTACACTTGCAGGTTTAAGTTGACTGGGACACTGCACCCAGACCACTTCAATGAGCTTAAGTTGTTTGGGTGCCTATAGTGTCCCTTTAACCCCTTAAGGACACATGAAGTTTGGTCCTTAAGGGGTTAAGCACACTCTCTGACAGACATACGCATTCACTGACACACACACTCAATGACAAACACGTCACTGATTTGACACACACATTCAATGACACACACTCATTCATTGAGAGAGACACCCACAAACACACTGACAGACACACTAATAGTCACACACTCTAAATGACAAACAGACTTTCACTGATTTGACAGACACTCACAAACATATCCTAACAGAAGCACATACACACAAACATACACATGCATACACTAACAAAAGCACAAACACACGCATACGCTAACAGACGTAAATACACTCATACACATACAGACATACACACATACACTAACAGACATATATACAAATTATTAATATTATTAAAATTAATATTTCCCAGCCTCCCTACCTTTTGGGAAAACTGGCATGGATGGGTCCAGTGGGGCTGCAGTGAGGCAGGCGGCTGTCTCCATGTCACACGTGGAGAGGAAGCTGTGTCCTCTCTGCTCTGCTCCCTTGCACGCCATTTGCTGATGCTGGGAGCCGGAATATGACGTCATATTTCGGCTCCCAGGATCCGCAGACAGCGCGCGAGGGAGCAGAGCAGAGAGGACACAGCTCCCTTGCTGCGTGTGACAGGGAGACAGCCGCCTGCCGGGGGGGTCTATCAGGTGGCGCCCCATGACAGGGGGAACACAGGGCATTTGGGGGGGGGGAGGGGCATTTTTTGCCGCCCCCTGCTTAGTGCCTGCAGGGGGAACAGGGTGTTCCTACTGTGAAAAAAGTGCAGGAACGCCATTCCCAGCCCTGGTTTAAATAATGATTTGACTATTTACATTGGGGGTGCGCTAGAGAGGGCACTCTTATGGTGCTTGGAGAGTGGAGTGTATTTATTCTTCATTTAACCCAATCACAAAAAATAATGCAATGCTACATTACATAATACATATGTTGCATTTACAAGCACAATCCAAGCACCATAACCACTACAGCCTGGCCCAATGTATGTTTCTTGGACGGAGGGCTAAACTTTACTTTTTTTTTTTCATTCACCCCAATTGCAGACCATACCCCCCCTCCACTATAGCACTTAATCCCGCCACTACAACCCCTACACTACAGCCTTTATCCTACACTACAGTCCCTATCATCCGTTTTGCAGCCCCTATCCACCCAATCACTACTACCCCTAAATACCTTACTACCGACCCTCACTTACAGCCCCGCACTGCAGCCTCAATCCCCTCACTGAGGCCTCTATGTCCAAAAACAGTCCTCATCCATCAATTGCGGCCCCTAGAGCCCCCAAACAGCGCAATCCCCCACTACAGCCCCTATCCCACAACTACTCCCCCTATTGCCTAATTACAGTCACTAACCCATACTATAGCCCTATCCCCCAATTACAGCCCTTAATACCCACTACAGCCTCTATCCCCCAATACCATCCCTTACTACCTACTTTAGCCTTATGCCGCCACTAGAGTCCCTATGCCCTAGTATTGCACACCTTCTACAGTCCCTACCCCATACTATAGCTCTATCCCCCTTGCAGCCACTACCCCCTACTGCGGTTCCTATCCCCCACTATAGTGCCTCCCTCTGCCACTACAGCCCCTGTCCCACCAATTACAGCTACTAACTAATTCTATAGCCACTAATTTTTTTTCTTTTTCTAAAACGAGCCTCAAACAGGAAATTGCCGTCTCCAAATTATTTCCAGTGATGACAATCCTCTGCATGAGAAACCAGGCATGAAGCATTCTCTCAAATAAAGTAATAGCAAACAGTCACACACACACACAGTAATATACAGAGTCACACAGACACAGAGATATACAGACGCACACTGAGATACAGAGTCACACAGACACACTGAGATACAGAGTTACACAGACACATACTGAGATACAGAGATATACAGACGCACACTGAGATACAGAGTCACACAGACACACAATGAGATACAGACACACAGTGAGATACGAAGTTACACAGACACACACTGAGATACAGAATTACACAGACAGACACACCAAGATACTCTGGGATAGATAAAGACATATATTGAGATACAGTTCTGTGGGCACCCAGACACAGACTTAATGAGGGCACAAAGATATAGAGTTACACTGACACACAGAGACAGAATTACATAGATATTGAAATACAGCGATATGGGGGCGGGGCCTGACCGCTGAGCTGAGCGGATGCAGGAAGCAAGAGCTCACGTGTCAAATGGCTGTCTAAGCTGCATTTACATGTATACACGCTAAAACCGGACACCCACGGGCTGCCATATGATAAAGGAACCCAAGACCAACAAAATGATACCATATAAGTGGACACCTTACTCAGACCCGCTCGGCATCAACATACGGCCTACACTCATGGACGGTACGGAGGGACGGCTGCTCTCCCGCCGCCTCCATACTCAGCTGACACCATTAAAAGCCAGCATTCACCCCCCCTATGGACTGGAGGGGGTTATCCCGGTCCACACCGAACTGGCTTACAATCTGCCTTAGGCTTCTAGGGCCTCCTGCAACACACGCCTCACTTACAAGATGGCGGCCGCTGACCATGCTTTCGGGCAGACGCCCTCTCAGCTCATGCATAAACAGCTGGATGCCCTATTCCACTGCTTTTGGGAAAAGCTGGAGCAACGGGCTGCCCAACTACCCCCTACACATGGCAGAACAGGCCCATCCCAGGTGAAGCGACCACTACGAGCCCATCTAGGCCAAAGGTCACGAGGAAACCTCCTCCGAGGCATCGACCACAACGCCGGAAGGCCACACGCCACTGGTGGCAGACGACCATCAGGCCCTCCCGCAGCGCCCAAAAAGGGAGAGACCTGGTCTCACTGAGTACTCGAGTCAGTACATGGTGTGACAAACGCTCCTTCCCACGTACGTTTG